CAGCCTCTACTTCAGCCACCGTTCTGAATTGGTACGTAGCATTCTATGCACCTGGGGGGTAGTGTAACCCTACAAGCTGTGCATATACCGTGGCCTGAGCCCATCAGTGTAACTGCACACGGCTGTTCCATGTGTGTGGAGGGAATGTGCGGAGTCCGGGACCAGCTACTTGGAAGTGCACACACCTGGTGATCCTGCAGTGACAGAGTGGATTCCACTCAGCTGTACCCTTGGACTTGTAAACTACCCCCCACCGTCCCCCCACTGCCTTCTCAAGCTCTCGGGAACCACGACCTGCAAGATCCACATGTGAACTTGAGCGCCTGACAGGGAGTCTGCCTTCGGCCACCCCCTCATCTGCTTTGCCCATTCTCTCAGCATGTGCTCTGTAAATTTACTTGTGGTTAGAAGCTTGAAGGAGCCACGTGCTGCAGGCGGATGGCTGCTGTTTCTGCGATGGTGACTAATCGCCCCGGAAGTCTCACGTGGAAGAATGACCTCAGGTGTCCTGGAGTTACTTATCATTGACCTGCCTCCATTAGTGACGCTAAGAAATCACGTGAGCAGGAAATCAGAGCGGCACCTTACTGATGAGCCTGGAGCCTGCTGGCTGATTATTCCGGGTGAGAAAGTAGAGGGCTGCAGGGTGAAAAAGATCTTCCCGAAGTCATACAGGACACAGCGGGGCCAGCCCTGCAATCAGTTCTGACTCCCAGATGAATGCTTTTCTTAAAAAAAAAAAAAAAAAATCAGTTAAAGAACATTGTGTCCTCAGGGTGCCAGATCCCAGAAAGAGAAACTCGACCCTCAGTTTTACCTGACTGCAGGACAGTAGGATACGCCCCTCTAAGCGCTGCTGAATCCTAGGAGCTCAGATTCTTCCAGCTTCCTCCTGTGTGAGCCATTCCTTCAGGGCTACAAGGAGAGCCCCTGCACAGCCTGTCCTGTAATCCCATAAGTCCAGCCACGTTATCTGTGACTGCTTTTGTGTTACCATACCAGAATGTGTGGCGTCTTGGCCCCAAAGACTTAAAATACTGGGAACCAATCTTTGGCGCCAGCATCGCGTGCAGGCAGTGCCTCGTGTCCCGGTTGCTTTGCTTCCAATCCAGTTCCCTGCTCCTGGTGCTGGGAAAGGCTGCAGAGGATGGCCAAAGTTCTTAGGACTCAGCACGCATGTGAGAGATCCGAAAGAAGCTGCTGTCCTCTGGACTCATCTTCCGTCTTCAACCTGGCCCAGCCCTGGCCATTGAGACCATTTGGAAGCGCACCAGAAAATGCAAGATCTCTTTTTGTCTCTTCCTCTCTATCTGTTAACTATATCATTCAAATAAATAAACAAATTGTTAAAAACAAAAATGTAAAATATTTGTTATCCGGACATTTATGAATATGTCTACCCCCTCTGGATGTAAATTCAATTGTATAAGTAAGTCCTGTTCATTTTTACTGCTCTTGTAACAAAAAAAACACTTGGTGGCTTAAGACAAGCCAGTTTACTTCCAGGTTGTTATTAAATTCCAGGCCTGGGGACGAGAGCTGAAGACAGGCCTTCCTGCCCAGTGTCACTTCCAGGCCTGGGGACGAGAGCTGAAGACAGGCTCCTGCCCAGTGTTACCTCTGGCTGCTGTAGAGTCTGCTCCCTCGGATTTTCTCTGAATTCCTTGGTTTATGGCCTTGTCCCTCCTCTTCCAAGACAACAGTGGAGCATCCTTAAATCCTCCTGTGTCCATGGCCACAGCTCCTTCCTTGGCCCTCCCACTGCCTCTTTAACAAGTAGGACCCTTGGGTTTCACGTCCACAGGGTTGGATTTAATTGGCTCCCCATCCTTCGGTTCACTTTGCCTTGCAGTATCACGTAGCCATAGGTGTGACAGATTAATGCAATGAGGCTCTTCGATGGGGCTGAAATTCCACCTAGGACGTGAAGGCTGGTGTGGCACTGAGCCTGCAGAGGGTTTTGTCTCTGGTGAATGCGATGGTGACGTATAGAGGCTGTTTTATTGTTTGTTCAACATTGTTCTATTGATTTTTGTGAAAAAGCGTGTGAGTAGATGCTGACGAAGTATTGCAGGCTATTGATGAGAAGGGGAATCTGGAATCATTCTGGGAAGCATAGAAGAAACTTTCATAAAACGCTAGAAAGTTTAGAAGGATAAACGGATGATGAGAAGGATATTAGCAATGTGACTATTTGGTGGGTCAATCTGCTAATACAGCAAGTGGCCCACTTGGTGCCAAAACCCTTAGAAGGCTTATTCCTTCAACATTAATAAATATTTATTGAACTTGTACTAAGCACCCAGAGGATGTAAAACAAAGCAAAACCAATAAGTTGATCAACAAATGCAACGTGTTTTTGATGCATGCAGAGTAAGAAAATACACAGAGTGAGAAGGGTCCTGTTTTTGTAGAGAATGATGGGTAACGTTTGAATAGAGAACAGAAGTCGACTGTGCAGTTTCCAGGACAAAGAGCTTTTGTGCTGAGGGAATCCCAGTGCAAAGGCCCTGAGGCAGGAACATAATTGAAGATTCAAAGCCTGGCAAGGAAGCCAGAGGGAGAGTGGAAGGTTATGCGGGTAACTAGAGATTGTGCAGTACCTTGAAGCCATCCGAGGACACTGGCTTTCCCTCCGAGATGAAAGCGGTTTGTGGTTTGGAGCCCGGCAGTGACAGGAGTTGGCTCGGATGTTGAAAGCAGCACTCTTGCTCTGTGTAGAGTTGGGCTATGAAGTTGTAAAACTCTTCCACATTTTAACTGTCAATGAGAAGAATTACCCTTGGAGATGCATATGGAAGATTTTTTTTTTTTAGCCCCCAGATAAAAGAAACAAGGATTTTGGCATGGTCTTTAAGAGACCTGAGGAGGAGGGAAGTTTTAGGAAAATACAAACAGCCCTGTGTTCAAGAGGTGAAGTTGAGACACGCTCTCAGTGCAGCTCTGTGGCAGCCAAGTCATCCCAGCACAATCAAAGCCAGCTGGGGCTGCGGAAGATGACTCCGTATCCTGTTGCCGATCTGCTGGGCACAGCGTGGGTAGGAGCCAGGGAAGAGGGCGGGGCAGCGGCTGCACAGTGCTGCCAGCTTTGGGAAGCGAAGCGGCTGAGGCTGCCCCAGGGACGCGTGGGCCTTTCGTGTCCTGCTGGAGTGACCGCTGAACATTATGTCTTCTAAAAATTAGCAAGTCTGTATGCTGGCAATGATAGCTAATTTGCAGTCAGCAGTTGTTGTTTTTTGCTTTTTAACATCTATTCATTTATTTAGAAAATAGGCAGAGAACAACAAGGAAAGCTTAGAACCAGACAGGAAATGGTCAGCATGGACTCACACATACCTTACTAGGTAGGACACAAAGATTAATTACTCCTCGCTAAGGTATTGAAGATTTCTCTGCACACCCCTCCTAAAACTGTTCTGCACCTCAACTGTTGACATATGCCTTGTTAGAGTTATAACTCAGTTTAGACTATCCTAAAATCTGCCAAGTTCAGCAAAAATTATGCTTCAACAGTATAAACTGCTAAATATTAAAATGAAAATAGACACAAGACAGCTGAATAGTACCTTATAGTATAGCAGCTGGTTTTGTGTATAAACTAAAATTGAAATGTCAATGAAGTAGGCACAGGATATGTTTAAGAACTTGCATTTTTTTTTTAGCATATTGATTACTCAATACCATGTCATCGATTCCATAATGTTGTAAATTGTCATTGATGTTATGTTGTGGCTTTAAATTGATCGGGATGATATTCTGCCAGCTCTGCTTTCAGATGGTCTCCCCAAGAAACTGTTGAACTTACCTGGACAATAAGATGCTGGACTCTATGCTTGGTTTATTCTTGCAATGAAAGAATCTTGACTGAATTTGAAATGTAATACTGCAACAAGGTGGAGGAATCCAGCATGGGGGGAGGGTTGGGGGATTCCCAGAGCCTATGAAACTGTGTCACATAATGCAATGTAGTTAATAAAAATATATATATATTTTAAAAAGGAACACAAATTAAAAAAAAGATCTATTCATTTATTTAGAAAATCGGAGTTGCAGAGAAAATGAAAGCATTTTCTTAGAAGCAGGTCCCTTGGTGTAGAGCATCAGAACCCTCCTGCTTCCCGCCACCTGGCCGGCTTGTTACTGCGGAGAGATGTTGTTTTGGTTTGTGCAAGCTGTCGTGCAGGTCTTCATGCCTGAGCTCTGTGCGAAGTCTGAAACCCTGCAGCAGAAAGCTGCACCCCGGCCGTCATCCGCAGAGGTCATACCCCATGAGACACCCTGGAGTTCCTGCTCGTCCGCACGGCCCCTTGCTGAACAGAGATCTGCCTGATGCTCACTTCATGAAGACATCAAAGTGTTGGTTTAGAAGAGCGTCTAAGGAAGAAAAGGCATTTCTAGTTTTGTTTACTGGTGGTTTTATGTATGCTAGTCCCCGATTCCTAGGAATAAATAGGATTTATTTTCAAGTAAACTGTTTAACCCATCATTACATGCAATATGTCTTCTGTGGAAGACAGATCCTGCCTGTAACGAGTTTTCAAAAATTTCTGTTTACTTGGAAACATAAGCTTCAGTGATAAGACGCTCTACAAGCTGCCTGTCCATAGAAAAGCTTGCTGCCGTGAATGTTCAAATCCACATTGGTGCTACGAGCAGATGTATAGGGCTCTGTCCTGAAGCTGTGACAACAGAAACCCTGGCAAAGCTGAACCGGCTTCCTGGGAGACTGCTCAGAAACCGAAATGGAAACACCTTCAATTGAACTGAGTGTCCAATAAAGCAACAATTCTTTTCAGCCTGTGTTTATTCGTGTGCATGTAGCTACTGGCTGCACATTTGTAGGAAAAAATAGGCCTTCGCTCTGAGCACATTAATCTGGGGGCCCCCTTACGTGTTACTGTGTGTTGATAATGATGAATTACAACCACATTATTTTGATTTTATCCCCACACTCAGTCTCTAAGACTAAAGGGAACTGCTGTCATTTCCATTTCTTACAGCAAATTCCTGGACATCCACGTGTTGAGGAAGGCGGGACAGGCAGGCACGATTCTCACCCCCGAACTCAGCAGGAGTGGTGAATACATGTTAAGGTAACGTCAGGAGTGTGCTTACAAAGTTCATGCAATTGAAAGTAACTGTGAGACAAACATGAGATACAGTGTTTTTAAGTCACCATTTGGGACACTTGACTTCAATACTTGAGTGCCTGGTTCAGGTTCAAGTCCTGGGTACTCGCAGAGTGAATCATCGGACGGAGGATCTTCCTCTCTGACTCTCCTCCTCTCTGTATATCTGACTTTCCAGTAATTAAATAAATCTTTAAAAAAAAAAGAAGAAGAAGAAATCCATGCCAGTGTTAAAATACTTAGTCTGCCAAGACAGAATCAAATTTATTTTATTTGTGTAAAACAATTGAGAATTGGCCACCACTGCCAGCAGACATCCTGTTGGCTATATCTGTGGGAGCAGCAACTTGTTTTTGGGGTACAAGACAGAGGAAAGTAGGTCTGCACTGAGCAGGGATCATGCAGGACTGAATCCTCATGAGGGTGAAACATCTCTGTCTAGAGGTTTGCCTTCTTATTCTCGCACAAGCGCCTTCTTAGGTTTTTTTTTTCACTTGTATGATTGACACCTATGTCTTCCTAGAAGTTTTCCTCTATTGTAGAATTCAAGCAGCGCTGAGCCTCAGAGTCCTGCATGAAAAGAATTCACATGCTTACACTCTCAGCTTGACCAACATCTGTGCAATTGTAAATTCTCAGGAGACGCTGGGTTTTCAACTTTCTTGGACTCAGCCTGCGGTCTGGAGTGAGTCGTTGCTCTATTTGAGAAGTTCCCTGGCTAAAGTTTCAGCAAGACCGGCGAAAGTCTCCGAGAAAGGCTATCTCTTTATCTTAAGAAAAACCTTTTGTACAAACTTTTCAGTGATCTGAAGGTGGATCCAAAATACGTGTGATGGGAAGGCCCCGCTTAGCCAGTGTCTTCCTCTGTTGGTAGGAAAGAGGCACGATGTATCGGAATCATGAGCAGGATCACAGAGATTTTCTGTTCCAAAGTCCCTTCATTTTTCAGATAAGGAAACTGAGGCCGAGAAATTCATTGAAAGAATTCTGAGTGCTTGTTCAGGTGAGAATGGCATCCTTGGGGACCTTGGGATTTTTTTCAACTATGAAATGAGACTCCTCAAACACCTTTGCCTGGGGGAGATTGCACGTGAAACCCCCGAGTCCGTAGGAGCCCTGAGCTGGGCCGAGCATGGCAGTTCACAAGTGTATCTTCTTACTTAAGGATTAAAAAGTGTGTGCTGACTTAGCGCAGGGGAGCTTTGATCTTGCCCAAGGTCACTGTAGAAAATGGCATCTTTTATAAAAGAGGAACAGGAAAATCCAGTATGAGATTTTCCCTACATATTTATTTTCCTGATAAGCTACCTGTTTCCTAATGGCACAGGTTTTGCATCCCATGAGTGACTTGATTGGGTGTTCTTTTGCATTGTGATTTGATTCTCTGAAATGTATAATAGTCTAGGTCAATCTTGACCTTACTCAGTCAATAGATATTTGCCTCTCACCTGCTATCCATTGGCTGTTTAACATATAGCTCTTTGTTGTATAATCCTTCCTAATGAATTTCACTCTACCCATCAAGGAAAGCCACTTAGAGGCAACAGACCCAGCTTTGTGTCTTTAACATCATTAATTCTAAGTCTGCTTACAAACCAGAATTTTATGAGGTTTATGATCATGGCCAGGCCTTCGTTAATTGTTTCAGCAAAGACCAATTTCCACTTCGGGAATGTGCTGAGAAATTCCTACAGTCACACAAATGCATCATTCCCTGGGATTTTTTTTTTCTGTGCACAGATCAGCAAAAAGTTGTTAAAACAGAAAATGACCACAACTTTGTAGATGTAATTGGCTTTTACTTGTGATTCTGGAGTCGGGCAATACCTCTTACTAGAAAATACTGCGCGTGCACCAATGAGCTGCGCAGAGGAGACTGGCTTTCCAAACCAGCCCAGGACTGAAGAAAGTAAAAGCAGGGAAAACAAAGTGGATTGTTCATTTCAAGGACAGTTTCCCCCTGAGAGAAAACCTAGGAGACTTCCAGCCCTTAGCGCTGGAGTAGCCCAGGCCTCCTTTCACTGGGAGTCGCTTGTCTTCTGGAAAACCTGTTCATTTCAGTTTGCTTACGTGGCAATTAGTGTGAGCCCACTCTGTTTTGCCTGCTGTTCTGGGACCCAGTGCAGCTGTTTGGTTCCAACAGTGGATCCCCGTAACTGTGTTTGAGACACTTTATTACGCCTTCTGTGGTTCCCTTCAAGAGGCAATTGTTTGAATGATTAGGTACTGACCTCCCCAAGTCAGAATCTGCCTTAGCCATTTCAGTTAGTCTTCCTTTCTTAATAAAGGGCATGTTTGTTCTCAAAAACGAAATGGCTATGAGTTGGCCAGTGCTTCATGAGACGTGTCCTACCAAATTCCTTTGTATTCGCTTACATGTGGTGTGCCTTTTCTTTTAAAAAGTTTGTATGAGAGGCAAAGAAAGAAGTGGGTGAAGGGACAAGGAAACAAAGAGGGAGAGAGAAAAATCCGATTTGCTGGGTTACTCCAGGAATGGAGTGATATCCAGGGTTGGGCAAAAGCTCAAACAGCAAGATGGGAACTAAAGCAAGGGCTCCTGTCAGGTTAGCAGCGACTATGTGACTTTAGTCGTCACTGCCGTGTCTCTGTGTGTGCAGCAGCAGGACATTGTGTTGGAGCCAGGGCAGGTAGGAATGTAGGCACCATGATATGCAGACATGGTGGCATCGTCACGGCTGCACTCAATGCCCAGCCCTGATGATGGATTTTGATGGATGGAAAATATTGCCCTGGGATTTCCCATATACAGCCAGTATGAAGGCATTGCTTGGCCACCCGCTGTATGCTCAGAGATGACTTTTCATCCACAGTGTTTGAGATGGAAAACCGAGGAAGGTTGAAAACTTCAGGCAAACTGGAAGGAGGGTAACATTTTTGTTGGGCATCTGTTGACACTTTTCAAGGTTAATTACACATTTAGTTAACTGGCCTAATTAGTTAATCGGTTTGATGAGTTGGCATCCCTGGCGAGAGTGTAAATGAAAATTCACGCTTGGATGTGCTCTTTCATTGTTAGCAGCTTGTAACCAAGATAACACATCCCTTATTTCAGGAGTTGGTTTTGGAGAATGTACTGCTTGTTCTCTGAGGCAAGGTTTTTATTTTTTTAAACTTCAGGACACCAGGAGAGTCAATACCAGTTTATTGCCAATTCCGCTAAAGTCCATTCTTCTGCAGCAAGGGGGCCTTGAAGCAGGTGTGGGTATAGAGCTGCTGGCCGGGGATAGAGTCTCTGAAGTCTGTTCAGACACAGGTGGTGTTCAGCGGGACCAGAGTTGAGCTTTGGGAGAGGGCACTGAGCCTGATGGACTTGCCTGCTTGCATCCTCATTCGAGGCTCCTGAATCAATTCCCAGCTCTGCATCCTCAATTGGCTTCCTGCCCATGTGCACCCTGGAAGGTAATTGGTGATGGCTCACATGCCTGGGTCCTTGATACTACGTGGGAAACCCAGATGGACACATCCTTGGACATTTGGGCAGATAACCAGCAGTAATAGCTTCTCTCTGTCCCCTTCTCTTTCAAATATATATATATATATATATATATATATAGTGTTATGTTGGCCAGTTCTGAAAAGCTAACATTTTCTGCATAATCAATGAAAATAAATTTGTTCTTTATTTTTTAGTAGAATAAAAGGAAACAGAGGAATAATTCAACCATATTGAGGACTTTACAGTTTGGCACTAACTTGGCATTTCCAGTCCTTTTTATTTCCAAGTCTGCCTAACATTTTTCACGGATGTTTTAATGATGTTGGACAAATGATTAATCTCTTGGGCACTGTGGGGATCAAAGCTCGGAGAAGAAAGATACCAGTACACGCACAGGAGCATGGGTCAGGGTGAGCCTGGGCTCATGTGTTCGCATGTTTGCTCACGGGAGCTGAGTCCCCGTGGGGAGTGCAGCTACGGGCTTAAAGGCCAATTGCAGATCTGTTTAACCAGAGGACGGAGCTTGCCTGTGGCTGGTGTGGTGGTGTTTTGTTCTGCGTCTAATTGTTGGGTTTCTCTTTTCAATCTTCAGCATTTGTAACCTCCTTTGGCAGTCTTGGTGAGATTCTTCTTCCCTTTCCTCATAATTAGAGAGCTTTTGTAATCTTTAATCAAACCCTGCTTTGAACTGCTTTAATTACATCTCATTGACCAGCGTGGCTAATTGATCTTCTTTCTTCCATCATATAATATAATGTGCTTTGAAAACAATTATAGCTTTTTTTTTTCATTTCCACTTTCTAGATTGCCAGAGTATCGCTTTTACATATTGTAATTATTTGAAAAGTTGCAGAAGCTGTGGAACCGTGGTACCATTTGGTTGTTGGTATTCCTTCTAAGTCAGCCTTTCTGCTACGCCCTTCCAATCCTACCACCACCAACACTCTGCTTGGGATTTGGGGTCTGGCAAAGCAGACATGAGGCTGGCCCCCTCTACCCGGTGCGGAAGTCCGTGGCACAGTTCTCATGCTCTGTGTCGGCTGGGGCATGCGTGTTTGCACACCCCAATGTCAGAGGCCATTTCCTCTTTGTTCTTTTTTTTCCAGGGTGGCCTAGGGGGAGGAAGGATGATGGCAGCAGTGTCTCATCGATGACACACACTCCTGGCTCTGTGAGCGTCAAGGGAAGGGATTTCCAGAACTCTCTGGAACCACATCCTCAGGAGAAGTAGCCCTGTGAGGCGGCTCTGAATCAATCCTTTGGCCTTTTTTGGGTTCTGTGTTCATACAGCATCGAAGCCGTATGAGATCTACTTAAGCAGATAGACCCGAGTAGGCAAAAAGCAAACAAAGCCCAAGGTGGTGGTAGGGAACCAAAGGCAGCGACCAATGCAGAGAAGCAAATGAGGGTGATTAAAGGGAAAGAAAGAAAATAATGGGATGAATAGAAATGACATTGGGTTAAGATCGGAAGTGTGTGTGGAACAGCATATGAAGGGTCCTTATTGCAGTGGTTTGTTGAAGAAGCGCTGTCTGGTGCCTGCTCTGCGTGAAGGATGAGTTCCTGGCATCCTGAAGAGGTTATCTCAGAGGCCCTTGCCAAGGAAGCGGAGGGAGGGAGAGAGGGCGGAGGAGTGGCTGCGGACGGGGTGACTGCGGTGGAGCCAGCAGCTGGCTGGGTCAGCACAGGGTCTACGTAGATGGGATGAGGAAGGAAGAAGGGAAGGGGCAGCTGGAGCAGTGATGGAGGCAGTGCTGAGGCACAGGAAGGACGCACTTACACAGGGTCCTGAGGGCTGCACTGTGTAGAGCCCAAAGCTATGCGGCTGAGAATCTCATAAAACTAGTGTGTATCACTCTGGGTTTTTTTTAACCTTTGAAATGATTGATATTAGGCTTCAATGGCATGGTTCACTCTAACCTCATCACCTCTTCTGATGAGAGGGTTTTTGTTTTCTTAACTTTATCTGATTTGAACCTATTCTGTTAGTGTCAATTGTAAACTCACTTTAAATATTTACCTTGGAGGCCTAGTGAAGTCACAGATTAAGACCGAAACTGGAGGTCACATGTTCTGGTTTCACCATCTGCAACGCTATTAGGAGAAATAATGGCGATATTAATCTGAACTGGTTACCAGCCCACTTCTAGAAGCTTCTGCTTTTCCCACCTTAGCACTCTATTCTCCATAAATAGACATGGCTGCTGTACTTGGCACATTCACCAATAACAGGACTAACAGCAGCCTACCCTCATGCATTTTAATCAGCCACCAAATACTATGATGTTAAAAAAAAAAAACTTTATTTGACAGGCAGAGAGAGAAAGAAAGAGGGAGGAGGCGGGGAGGGGGGCGGGGGCGGTGTGGGAGGTAGGAGAAAGCTTCCACCTGCTGGTTCATTCTCCAATAGCCACAATGGCTGGGATGGAGCAGGGCTGCCACTGAGAGCTCATTATTCAATCAAGGGCGGCTGGAACATGATGGAGGAGCCATCACAGCCGCCTCCCAGGGTTAACACTCACAGGAAGTTGAACGCAGAAGCTGAAGCGAGGAGTGCAAGGTAGGCAACACTGCTTGTGCTGTAACTGCCAAGCGGGGTTCCCGTCGTGCATCAAATAATAGTGTATGTATCATGTGTGTTAAATCATTGATTCTTCCAAGGTAACAGATATCTGTTGGTTCACCTTAATTTTATAAACAGAGTTTGACGCAGAACCTTGAAATCCACGTGTTAATAGGCATTACGAAAGTTCATGGCTATGCATGGAAAACGAATGCGAGGGTTTCAAAACTTTTTTTTTGGCACCAAATAAGCAGAGTGTGACGGGATCTGCCGGAGACTTCTTTCTGCCACATTTCCTCCCTCGTCCTTATCCCCTTCTCTGATCCTGTCATGAGCTAAATTATTTCTCTTCCCAAATCCACATATTAGAGACCTAATCTCAGTTCTCAGCATGTGCTGGGACTGAAGCTAAGCTTTCCAAACAGGCCCAGTGAGAC